TTATTAGCAAAAACTTATGGCTTTGAAAAGGACAAAAATTGGCATACAACTTGATAATAATCCTCAGTACACTATCATTGAGCAGTCAAGGGACGTAGAATGTTTTAATTTCAACAAAAAAATGTGACAATTTCAACTAATTTTCTCTGCATTTATTTAAGATATTGGGTTCAAATTTGACACATGCCAGATGAAACTACTCGAAGGGAACTAGTTGGGTCAAAGTTTGAAAAACTTTGTTTTCGAAATGTATATTAACCAGTATTTCTACACTAGTTTCAAAGACTTTCTTGCTGTGGAAATAACTTTTTTGAACAGCACAAAGAAAATCGAATGTACGGGGCTCAACTTGGTTTTTTGGGAGGCTGTTAAGCTTGTCTTACTCTTTGTTCCGTGCAAAAAGCGACAGATAAGAGAATTGATACAATTACTTGGTCCGACATTAAAAACCGTTTTAACAGTTTTGACGATAGAGACACAATAAGTCTTAGAAAATGTTTGCTGCTTAAGAAATATCAAGGCATTGATCGGAACGGCCGTATTCCTAGATCATATCAATTGTTTTGGCCTCATTTGGTCGGTCATCAGGGCAAAATTACTTCTAGGTATTTTGCCGATTGTTGGACCTGATACTAGTTTAGGCCAAAATAAGGCCAAATCAAAAGAACCAAGAAATTTTTGATTTTTTGTCAGCAAAATTTCGATGGCAAAGATAGCAGCTTCCCCAAAAATCAATTTGAGCCCCAAGGCTCGAGTTTCTTGTGCTGTTTGCAAGAATGCTTCCACAGCAAGTACACTTCTGAAAGTAGTTATGATATGCTCACAGTTTTACGCCCTCAAAACAAAGTTTCTCTCAATCTCTTTTTTTGTTTTTTGATCCATTGATCCACTGGTCAAACTAACTTTTTTCAAATTTTGTTATCTAGCATGCGTCTAAATTCAAGCCAATATCTTAAATAAAAGCACAGAAAGATGTCAAAGTTTACATAAAGTTTCATTCATTTGCTCGTTGAAACCCACAATTCGCAATGTTATGTCCCGTGACTGTAGCAGCACCTTGGAATTTTTCATGGGATCTGCATTTATTTAAAAGCACACTAATCATAGGTACGACTGGCCGAGTAAAATGGCTCGAGTGGATCTTGTGAGTTCTGAATGGGACCCCTACTGCAGACCAGAGTACAATGCCAGCACTACCCCTTGTGCACACATCTACAGCGATGACAACATGTAAGAGCTTGAATTAAAACTATCGCACGCATTTTCGCTGAAATTCCGTTACTTTAGTGTCAGTTAGCTGAAAACCATGCATTTTTGATAAAAACCATGCATTTTGCAATTTTTTAAAGCATATTCAAAAAACAAATACCCCCAAAAGTTGTTCATGAAAATAAATTTTTTCATTTGTTCTGACCTTGAATTAGAGTGGTGGCAGCTCGATGAAGATTCTTTTGTATGCAATGATATGATAATTTATTTTCGTTTCAGGTTTCTCTACTTCCCAAATATGTTCAGCTGTTGCTTCTGCTGCGAGCAGAAGAAGTCTGATTGGGGTCTCCAGGCGCCAGACTGGCTGGAGGGTGCCAAGTACGATGGCTCCTACATCATCCCTGTCTTCAACGGATCCTACTCCTACCTCAGTGCATACAAGTGGGAAGTCAAGGTGAGCCCACTATCTGTATTAGAGGCCATTTAATAATAGTTCAGGTGAAGAAACAATTTAATTAATTTATCACATTGTCCAAGATAATGTCTGGTGCCTTGAAAAAACCGCGGCATTGCGTGGCTCCAAAACCACATGAGATTTGCTGAATATTGATTTGCTGATTGTGAATTTGCGTGGATTGTCAATTTTTTTTGTTGTTGCCATTTTACGAATTTTTCAGAAATACAGCTACTATGAGCTTGAGGCAGAAGTGCCTGTGGATCGGAACATGGTCAGCTGGCAGCAGGTATCCAGCGGGGCTGCTAGATTCTTTGACAACAACCGACACTTCACTGTCGACTCCGACCTAATGCAGCTGCCTATTCTTTGCTCCGTTGATCTCAAGTGTGCATCAGATCTGTGCTCAGACTAAAGGCGCGATGATATGCAAAGCGAACTACTTGTAACTGATAAATATTTCTAAAACTGACTCTAAGACTTTCTGCTATTTCTATGATTTTACTGTGGGAGTTTATTCAGGACAGAGATTGTCAACTTTCTAATAGTTAGAATTATAACAAATTGCATTAACCGTTGAATAAGTTCCATTCGCCAAAAGATGCATCGACAACCCAACCACCATGGTCTAGGATCTCTGCCTAACAGCAACTTCGCGCAATGAGCATAGCAGCTTCTGTTTTAGTTTTTCCCTTTTTGCATATATGGCTTTGACTGAGATGCACTTGGTTTCAATTGAATAAACATTTGATTCAGTAAAAATGTTCTAGAACTTTTAGAAGCCAATTTGTCATAATTACTTTCCAATTTTTGTGTTTTTAAAACGTTAAATAAGCAAATGGTATCGAAAATTAGTTTTTATCTGGCACCCTCTTTCCCTGACCTTCAGGTGCTTCTTTTTTTAAAATGTATCCCTATTTTTATTACTGTTCCGTTTTTCAAAGAAGGAAACGGAATACTTACGCATTTTTTTTCGTTTGCACCTATTTCGGCTACCAAAATAATAGATTTCAATGAAGTATTTTGATGACCAAAAAACGACAATGGCTCCAGCAGATCAAAAGTCCAAAGCCTTTTTTGGTAAATTTATGGTTTATAATATTAACTTATTGACTATGTTCTTGACTAGTTTATGGGCACTTTTATGAGATAATATTCTAAGAAGAACACGTAAAGGCGGATTGTTTGAGCACTGTTTGAGCACAATTATCCCGTGCTGAAAGTCATTCCATATTATTTCGAGTCAAGTTAATTCTTCATGTTTATTCCATACATGAAACAAATTGGGGGTTAATTTCATTGGTAAAAGAGTAATGCGCACAATCTTTCAGCCAATGCTTGTCATTTAAACTAACACCGACTGATTTTCAAAGTTATTTGTCTCAATTTTTTTTAAATTTTGATTGGCTTCAAATTTTCCGGGTTTCAGTAATTTTGGCATAAGAGATTCCCCACTCACATTTAGAGTTCCTACTAGATTATTTTGACTGTTGGCTAGCAAAAAAAAAATCTTTTTTTTTCTCACCAAAAACAAAATAAAAAACTTTTTGGAGATGCTGTTCGAGAGTGCAGCCAGAATTTTTTGTATTTTTGCCGTTTTTTTTGGCAAGCATCTGAGACAATTCTGAATTGGTTAATGGGCTTTTGGAATAGGCAACAAAAATTTTTAAAAAAATTAAAAATCACTCAGCAATGAAATTGGAAAACTTCTCTGCTATTTATCCCGAATGAAAATTACTTTGAGAAGACATCAGACCAGTTTAACTTGACATTGAAACGTTTTTCAATTTTTTTTGAAGTCCAAAGTGTGACTTCAAAAAAATTGACTATGTTCTTGACATAGCCAATATGAGCAACCATACCTTACCTAGCTCGTAGATTCTTTCTCCTAAATAGTTTTTTACATAAGATTAACAAATCCAAGAAAACTGAAAAAACTTTGTATTTTCAACAAATAAATTTTTTTTAAAATTTGCTTTACAATACACTTCTGATTCAACAAAGATATCCGGACAAAACTATCGAAAGTTAATTTTTTTTTGTTCTTTTTGTTTTCAGTCAGAAAATGTTAGTCACAAAAGTAAACAACGGTTTCTTCGGAAGTATTTTTGTTTTCAGTCAGAAAATGTTGGTCACAAAAATAAATAACTACGGTGATATTTTAGCTTTAAAAAAGGTCCTTGTGGTCCTTTTTGGGCACTCACGATGTACACTAATGGCACTGGATGACTCGTTGAACAAAACAAAATATACCAGAATGAGTTTTATATGCGTGCCCATTTTTCAGGTCAAAATTAGTTCCAAAATTATCAAAAAGTTGAACCGTTATCTTTTTGGTTTCGTTCTAAGCAATTTTTGTACCCCTTGCTTTCGTCAATTTGAGACAACGCGTTGAATGAGTCCCCTTTTCGGTGATATATTACAATAGGTGGCATTAGTCTGTCGTTACAAAAGAAAAACTGCTCCCAGCGGGATTAACCCATACTTCTGGGCCTTGAGTCAAGTATGTTATCCGCTATACCAAACCAACTGAAAAGAAGTTAGATGGCAGAATTTATTAACCAGCGCATAACTATTCAGCTCAAAATATGAATAGAAAGCAAACAGTTAAGATACATTGTTTTCTTGGCCTGTCGATGTTTTTTGTATGAACGCCGGTGATCGGATCCTTGAAATTTTAGCCGTGATCAACAGATTCTTGAAGAAAAACTACTGGTCTCGGTCTACATAAAGGAATGTAAGCTGACAAACCATCTGACCAAATTTTTGTTCCAGGCAAAATTCTTCGGTAGATTACCTCTGACAAAGTTCAACCCCTTGAAATTCAGCCCCTGTCCTCAACAAAATACAAAAAACCGATTTTTCTCCGGGTCGCATCCGCCGAAAATCCATTTCTCTTTGATCATTCGACCACGGTTGTATTTTCTCTTGGCTACCACAGATTCGTCTATTTGAATAATTTTTCCAGGTCCCCCAAATCTGTAATCACAATTTTCTGAGTTTTGAAGGACCCAAGAACAGGTGTTTCAAAATAAAGCATAAAAGTCTACTGCCGTTTTGGAACTAACTTCAAGTAGAGTGGCAACTTGGCAGACTGGCGTTTTTACGGCAAAGAAAAAGAGCACAGTTACAATAACTCGAATAGATAATTTCGAATTTTTGACAATTGAATTTTTTCTCAAGGATAAAAGTTTCCGACCACGGCTGTTAGTGCACCGCCAAGCATTCTTATTTATAATTTTCTTGCTCTCATAACACAAATTCAAAATTCAAAATAAAGCCATAAGGAGTGTCAAAAAATGTTTTAGAAAAAATTAATTATATTTAAAATAAGCTCAACGAAGTAGAACTTGCTGCAAAAGAGTCTCCTGAAAAATTCTGTGTCGTTTGGTGGTGCTAAAATTAAAATGCAGACCTCATAGAATAAGTTGGGTTTTCTAAAAAATAATTTAGAGGGCAGTTCTATACCGCGCACGATTGACTTTTTCACTAAAAAATTGACAAGTTTTCATCGGTTAGACGCAATGCCAAAGTTTTTGAATGGAGTTATCACAAGTAGTTGCACATTATAGAGTTATGAGAAAAATTCAATGTCCTAAAAAAATGCGAGCCTATATGATTTCATAATTGATAATGACTTAAATACGGTACAAAATAATGCATCAGATATAAAATGTCGGAAACAAATCTGAAAAATGGAAAACTTCTGATCACTTTTTCTCGACACCGAGAGGTTGCTTTTTGAATTCAAGTTCTTTATAGTAAAGCTTCAACATTTGATCTCAGTTTACCACCATCATCTTTTAAGGTAAACAAATTGGGCAGAAAGAAAATACATTACTCCGTAGGTGCTTGCCATATTGGTTGCTCTCGTTACATATGGGATCGCTCAGATACAACAATTCGATAGTTTAATTCAATTTTAGTGGCCTGAGAACAAAACTTGATTAGCTTTGACGGTCTGCATTTTTTGTTGTTTTTGTTCCGACCATTTTGTATTCGGATGAGTTTTAGTTTTTTTTTGGTTATTTTCTCTTTGTTTTCCACGCAAAATCAGGTCCACTAAAATGTCATTGAAATGGCTTGAGTTTTATATCATAAACCCTTTCAATCGTGATTCAAACGAAATTGCTATTTTTAAAAAAAAACATTTTGGTCTAAGTTCGAGCGAATTATTTATTTAAGCTCATGAAGCCGTGAAAATTTAGTTTTACCTGAGTGAATATAATTCTGTAATTTTTTAGCGTCAACTTGGGAATCAAAAATTTCAAAAATTCAAAGAATTTTGAAAACTTCAAAAATTTCTGCTACGATTTTTTTTTTCGTTTTTCTAGTTATATTTCTGCAAATTTTTTTCCAATTTAATTTAATTTATTCTGACTGTCGAATATGCCTAAGTTCTATTATTTGTTCAGTTCATTTTATCACACCACGCAGAAAACAACTACACTAACTTGAAAAAAAAATCTTTTTTTTTTGTGTGTATTGTTTTCCAAGACTATGGTCGGAAGATTCTGTGCTACTTGCGGAGTGAACGGCTATTTTTGTATACGATTTGAACTTAGTCAATTTCAGTTAAACTTAGACGCCCTCCTCCCACCTCCCAGGTATTCAACCCCTGACTACCCAAAGGGTCTCCCTTTGGTACCATTTTTGGAGCTTTATCTTTGGCTGGCGGATCTTCTTTTGTCAAAATTTTCCAAAAACTGCCTAAAAACGCTTTTTTGCATGTTTTTTTTCTAAATCTTGCCTGCGTCGCAAAACATTTTGCCAAAATTGGGTCTTTACAGTGATTTGTGAAAGCTCGGAAAAATAAATTAGTTAACTTTTTTTCGAATAAAATGTCGGAAAAAGTTTCCTTTTTTTCGAAAATTGAAAATCTGCCCACTTCTCCTCGAGGATATCCTAGATCCACACCAAGTAATGTCCGCTAATAGAACTTTTTTGTTGCAAAATTTTATGCACCGCAGCTAAATATTTGAATAAAAGGACCAAAATCCAGTTTATGCATGTTTTGGAAAATTTTGAAAATATTAATATGGGTTAGTCAGTCTATATTTCAGTAAATTCGACAGTGATTTGCAAATAAATGAGTTGCGCCAGGTATTTTTGTTTATGTAGAAAACATCGTGCAAAAACTAATGCAAAGTAGTACAAAGGGAACCTTTAGGGTGGCCAGGATTCGACCCCTGATGGTAGAGGTCCGCAAAAAGGTTTCACGGAATCGATTTTAATGGATTTTCATGGTCTTTCTCCATAAAAATCAAAACATAATTGATAATAATGGATTAAAAAGCACCCGCATCCAGAATCAAGCGTTAATAATTGATAATAATATGACTTTAGTACCAGTCTTACAAAAATTTAGAAAAAAATTGATTTTATTCAATTAAGAATCGATTATAATCTCTCTTTTTTTAAAACTCAAATATAATCCCTTATAAAACATTATATTCTATTTTAATCGATTAGTTCAATCCGAATTTGCTTTGTTTTGCAGAAAAAATTCATTATAAATTGTTTATAGTCCTTTTTTTGCACATTTTGTCTTTGACCTTCTACCTGAACTGCTTACATTTTATGCTTTCCGTATATGTTGGTTTATGAGAAAAATGGGAAAAATAGTTTTAGCAGTTTTCAAATCATTTCAAATTTATAAAGTTTTTTTTTCAATTTTTCTTGGTTATAGTTGTTTCACGATGCTTATTTTTTTAGTTTTCTTGACCACCAAAATATCAGCACACTGCTTTAATTTCATGATTTTTTTAGAAGATTATTATATTTTGCCTACCGCGTGACTTTTCAACTAATATTAGGGATTTCGATGAAACTTTTGTTGCGTGGTAAAACTTTGTGACAATAAATATCATTTTTAGAGATCTTTGACAATAAAAGGTTATAGTCTATTGTAATAGATTAAAAGAGATTATAAGAGATTCTAAGATATTATAAGAGATTATAAGAGATTTTCGGAAAAATTATAATCACTTATAATTGGTTATTATTTATTATCATGTCACGAAAAAGGTTATCATAATAATGGATTATAAATCGTTCAAACATCTAAATTTGGCGCTTATAATTAATTATATTTTTGATAAAAGTACAATTATCATTGTAATATAATTGATTTCTATTGTATTTTTTTTATATTCGCCCGCACTCAGTAAAAAGGGAATTTTTACTGAGTGCGGGCGAATATAAAATAAATACAGTAGAAATCAATTTACCCATTATAATTGATTATAATGGATTATAATAGATTATATTGGATTCTAAAAGAGTTTTATGAGTAGATTTTTTTTCACTACAAATAGTGGATTATAATGGATTGTAATCGATTGCGTGGTTCCACAGTGTAATTATAATCAATTATAGTGCCAACATTTTGAACACTAAAATCGGTTTTTATCCATGGAACCTCACTGCGGGAGGGGGAGGGGGGTTACCCTTTTTCTGAATCTTCTCCTCTAGCTAAGGCTTTGCAAGAATTTTGCACACTTCATAAAAAACTGATATTTGCAATTGTTTGTACTCTGTCCGAAGATTGAATGGTTCGATCGATCAGGAATTTGAACTAGTTTTTAAGGTCATAATCGCAAAGCTATGATATGAGTTATTTCAATCCTACGAGCAAAATGAATGCGATTCATATTGGCGATTAATCATTGTCAATATTGTTTTCGGGGTGTTTTATTAGGTAAATTTAGTTTTTAATTCCAGGGTCAAAAGATAAAAAGAGAATTTTGGGTTCATCTAATGTTTACTCTTGCTTGTTTAACTGATAACGGTCAAGAAATTATACATGTATGCTTATGATAATGATATCTTATAAGTTGAAACTGCAGCAACTCATTTTAAATCCTAATCACATTTAGAACAGAATGAATCGACTTTCTTTTTGCTTTTTTGCAGTAACAGCAGCTGGCTTCTGCTCTGGTAAGATTTAAATAAAACTGGCAATCAATTAATTTCAACCCTAAAAACAACTTAACGAAATAAATATAAGTCTGAAAGGCTGTCCCTTCAGAAATAGCATCACTTCAAATAGCGAATGGCGTGCTCGACCTCAAAATCAGTCGGTCAACAGTTAACAGTAGCTTTAACAGTTGGAAATGGAGTGATTCTAATGAACTAGTTATAGTGTACTTCAGTTAGATGTTAGATCGTTTCTTCTATTCAAAATGACTCATTGTTTCCGCTTCAGTTTTCCTCGTTGATATAGTGTATGGGGATGAACCCGCTCAGCCTGTGTGGCCTGAGACATTCACTCAGAACTTCACTGACATCTCCTACTGGCCCAGTGGCTCATACAACACCAGGGGCACATACAGGTGACATACTAAATACTAACCCCCCCCTCCCCCAACATACACACCTGAACAAATATAGTACTAAACGAAACAAAACTTCATGCAACAAAACATCAATCAAACCTCACAAATGCTTTACGGTGATTGAACCTTCGTTTCTGATGCACATGATTATTTTCAGATTGGTGTGTTTTTTGCGATATTTGACAACGGCTGTTATTGGGGTATCGAATGAATAACTAAACTTAGACATGGATCACACTACAGCAAAATTGAACTTTGCGGTTTAAAAAATTACAATTCATAATATTACAATAAAAAAGGTCAATATTACTTTGGCTTAAAAGTTTGCCATAAACCATTGTGACAGCCCTTTGAAAGTTCGATGTAATCTGCAGATATGTGCATGTTTAGATACGACTGGCCAAATAAGATGGCTCGAGTGGATCTTGTGAGTTCGGAGTGGGACCCCTACTGCAGGCCAGAGTACAATGCCAGCGCCACCCCTTGTGCACACATGTACAGTGACGACAAAATGTGAGAACTGCACTCTGTACATCTAGAATTCCGCTCAAACCTAACTTCGATAAAGTTAATGATGATGTTTGTTTTAGTTAGCAGAACATCCTCACTTTTAGCGAACTACTTAAGGTTTTACTTTGATGTTTGAGTATATTACAAAAAAGCACAGGCATCTTTTTTGAGTTCTATTCCTTCTATGTTGAAACTATGCCTTTTTACATTTTTGCTGTCAATTTGAAAATTAACTACACCACATGTTGTTCACAAAATAAATATTTTATGTTTATCTGGCCTCCAACTTGATGTGATGGCAGTTCGACGAATTTGCTCTTGTATACAATCGTAATATTTGCTGTCGTTCCAGGTTCCTCTACTTCCCGGACATGATGAGCTGTTGCTACTGTTGCGAGCAGAAGAACTCTGATTGGGGTCTCCAGGCACCAGACTGGCTGGAGAGTGCCAAGTACGATGGCTCCTACATCATCCCTGTCTTCAACGGATCCTACTCCTACCTCAGTGCATACAAGTGGGAAGTCAAGGTGAGCCCATTATCTGTATTAGAGGCCATTTAATAATAGTTCAGGTGAAGAAACAATTTAATTAATTTATCACATTTTCCAAGATAAAGTCTGGTGCCTTGAAAAAACCGCGGCATTGCGTGGCTCCAAAACCACATGAGATTTGCTGAATATTGATTTGCTGATGGTGAATTTGCGTGGATTGTCATTTTTTTTGTATGTTTTTGTTGCCATTTTACGAACTTTTCAGAAATACAGCTACTATGAGCTTGAGGCAGAAGTACCTGTGGATCGGAACATGATCAGCTGGCAGCAGGTATCCAGCGGGGCTGCAAGATTCTTCGACAACAACCGACACCTCACTGTCGACTCCGAGATGACCCAGCTGCCCAGTCTCTGCTCCGTTGATGTCAAGTGTGCATCTGATCTGTGCTCAGACTAAGGGCGCGATGATATGCAAAGCGAACTACTCGTAACTGATAGATTAGATATTTCCAGAAACGACTCATGAGACTGCAGTAGTTTTTAATGATTATATTGAGGAGGGCTATTCACGACTGAGATTAATTATTTGACTAATATCTAGTAGTACAAAAGCTTTGAATGATTTATAGCAATTGAATACTGTAATCTCAAAACTAAAATAGATGATTAAAAGCAAATTGGAATAGTTTTTCAGCAGGTTTCATTCGTCAAGACTCGAACTATAATATAAAATAAAATAATAAGATAAATATATTATGATATGATAAAAAATGATTTCTGCGATTCTTAAAGAATCTCTGAAAGGCTTAAAAGCCTAAAAAGTTTTAATGATTTCCCAACATTCTAGACTGAGTTACTGTAATGAGCGAAGCTCGTTTGTGTATTTTTGTGGATCCCTGAGTGACCGTTTTATCATTATTCTAAGTGCCTCGATACGTGCGCGAGCTGACAGATCGATAACAACCATGATCCAGGGTCTTTGCCTGATAGTGAAACAACTTTTACTCGATCAAATGGTCTTGGTTGACATGCATTTGATTTCTTAAAAAATGCCAGTCGAAAAAGTTTTTCAATGTTTTCTAACGTTTCAGTGCTGCTGCACATTTAAATGCGTTCATCCGATTGTATGCTGTGGGAATGAGTTTTTTGTACGAGGCCGACAAGATCGACTAAAAGTTCAGGCTATTAAAACTTTTTCAATTAAAAACTAAAAAATTCTCCATGTCAAGGAAAAATTATCAATTGATTTAAATGGCAATGATCCAGACAACAATCGAATTACTTTTGAGCCATTGTTTGTGTTCATTAACATTTTCTAGTATCCATGATTAGGATAGCTGGTTGTTCTATTAGTAGCAAAATGTTTTCCGACAAGTATAATTTGAGTTCAGAATTTCAAATAGAAAAAGTTTCAGAAATAGAATTGCAATAGAATTAATTATCAATTTTTTTAAATTTTGTTTTGGGAATCCAAACAGCAAATAGGGTGTTTGTGCGATAAGACACTTGCCAGTTGCCAAAACTTTCTTCTGAAAGAAAACCAATCCATGCCATAGTTTCTTTTTGTCTCTTTGTAACGATGATAATTTTGTCCAAAATAAAAATTGTTGTCCGATTTGACTGTTAATATGACTGTCAAAAATTTCCTTATCTCTAGCTTTTTTAAATCAATTTTCCACACCGCAGACAAAAACGACAAATTTTTGTATGTAGTTTTTTGATTGGCAAATATACAATTGTCATAAACTTTCTTTGGTCATTAATTTTGGACTGAATAAGAAAACATAGCATGCATAGCGAGCCAAGTCGGGATGGTCCGAGTGAATCTGGGTGAAAATTGTCTATTTGTAAATTGTCATCAAACCATGTAAAACAACCTGATCTGTTTTCTGAAGTATTGTGAATTTTGTTCTGATTTTTATAGAACAAATAGTTTTTGAAGATTCTACTGCTGTTAAATTTCTTTAAATAAGAATTAACCGATTGAGTTAGAATATAACTACCCGGGTTGACCAAAACTTCTTATCATACAATTTCCATATATGAGAAACTTCTTGTCATACAATTTCATACAATTCCATACGTACAGAAAAGTGTATGAAAACTCTATGATAAGCATTTTTCCATATATGAAAATTGTATGATAGGTGTTTTCCCATAAACCAAAAATTTTGATTTTTTCTTTCTAAATTTAGTTTCTGAAAAATTTTCGGTAGTGTTTGCAACCGAACACTAGTGACACTGACCTTGGTTACTCAAAGCACCGAAGGTTGGACGGTCTTGCATTTACAATGCATAGAAAACGACCAAAGTTGGTCTGTCTTTCACAATTGATATAACAAAAGTAACAAACTTTTGTTTTTTGGCAAAATTTTTAAATGATGCTTATTTTAAATTTTAGAATTTTCAAATTATCAGACACTGATCAAGGCATACATTAACACCCCATACAAAAGAAATAGAAATTTTCAGCGTTTTTGAAAAAAAATTTAAGTGAAAATAAAATAAAAACCAATTTTATCGCATCCAGGACTACGTTATGCACACAAAATATTAAGTTTTGCATGCAAAAAATTTTTTTCGAAAAATGTTTGTTTGCGTACGAAATTGGATTTGCGGTTGAAAAAAAACAAAAAAAATTTTGGGCCAAATTTTAAAAATTACTTGAAAAATTTTTTGTGGCTATCAAAAAAATGCCAGTCATACAATTTCCATATATGGGAATTGTATGATAAGCATTTTTTTCAAAAAGCCAAAACCTTAGTTGTTTATCACCAGACTGTTTTATAAGAATCAAACAGCCACAGAAATAAGTTTATACCAGTTTTCAATCATTTTTAGAAATTGTATGAAAATTGTATGACAAGCATTTTTCCACACACTTGATGTATGGAATTGTATGATAAGCATTTTCGGTGTATGGAGGTCAACCCGGGTAGGGAACACTATAATAGAAACTATAAAAATAATAAAATCATCTATAGAAATTGTTTAATCTAGGCTACTCAAAAACGATTTTCTTTTTTTTTCTGTTATCCGTCAGTTGAAACATTTGTTTCAAAAACTGTGAGGCAGGAAACAAAACAAGAAACCAGAAAAAACACCGCAAATGCGAGGACAATAAGAAGGATTCTGTCAAAAACACCAGCCAAAAATGTCCACTCATTTTGCTCAGACAACTCTTCCACACCTGAATAATCATAACAGTCTTCAAGAGTCCTCCCCATCAGCTTCTTCAGAAAAGATCATGATTGTTTCGTGGTTTTTCATATCGAATTGTTTTTTTTTTTCGTGAAAGGAGATGTCCCTTTCAGATTAACAACTTTGCTCCGAATGAGTCTTCTAAATGTGTGTTCATGTGTAGGTAAAGTTTATGAATATCAAATCTAACAACTAAAATTATCAAGATCATTAGTTTGTATTTTCGATATTCAGAAGAATTTCTTGGTAGGGTTAACCGGATGCTCTGCAAGTAGCACAACAAATTCTGACCACAGTTAACTCTGCATAAACACAATTTTTCTAAGTTTTTTTCCCAATTGTCTTCTTCATTTTTTGCTTTTCTTTGTGACTTTCTTTTGATGAAAGGCTAAACAGAAAAAATCACACCTTGATTAGCAATAACACTTCTGTTTGAGCAAGTTTAGTTTGAAATGAGTCAATACGTTTTTTTTTGGACATCAATTTTGTCGAAAGGGTCCAAAAATTGTCCTATCAACTTCATTCCAACCCAAACAATGACGACAAAAAGGTCAGGCAACTCAGTTGAAAAGGATTTAATATGTTTATACTTATTCCACTGTAGTATTGCAAATACTACACCAACTTATGGTTCAACTTAGTTTTCTAACAATTTAAATACCCTTCCGATTTAATCAATTATAGTAGTATGCATATAGTGCGTTAGGATCGGGGGGGGGGGGGGTTGTCATACATGGATGACCATTAGGTATAAATCATAATGGTCACCATGTATTAAATGATCAGCAATGGTCACCATGTAATAATCCTAATTGACACCATGTATAATTTTATACCTAATAGTCCTCATGTAAAACTTCGGTATATTATTGAGTATTCCCACTGAACGTTGTGGTTACATGTTTGGTGCGGGAAAGGATTTGCCAAATCTTCGTTCTGAAACCAGCTGGAGTGTTTAACTGCGCTATAGACTGTTTGCTCAATTCTTCTTAAAACTTTGATTCAAACTCAAATTACATACAAATACATACAAAAGTATGCTAAAGACACTATCGCTTAAATGAAATTGTTTATATCCCAGATTAATTGAGTTCCAAAGCTGAACAAAATCTCGCACTTAAATACACACTAAACACGGAATAGCGGTATGTCAAATTTTATGTACAGACAATTCTCATATTAAATAACTGAATTTTATTTACTATACAAAAGTTAATGTGGTGTTTTTTTGTGTTTTAATCTATTCGTCGATTTTTTGACCGTGGTTCTTCTACTTCAACTGCTTCATAATCGAATAACGAATCGTTGAAGAATGACGACTCGTCCTCATCGGAAGTATTGGCCTCCAGATCCGCGATATCCCCGCTATCAATATCACTGTCGTTGGTTTCTGCTGCCCGAATCAGACCGGGGTCTGGAGTTTGCCAACTGCTATTGACCTGGTCCATCAGTTTTCGAAGCGAGCGATGTGGTTGTGTGTTCTCAACAGCAAAACTATCCTCAGAGTATTCATCATCAATTTCCGGATGGTCCCAATCAACGTTTTGAGTGTTAGCGAATTCTTCAGACACCCCATCTAGGAAATCGTCACAATCCCACGACACTGGTTGTTGACGATCTTCAAAAAATGGCATCCATTTTTCCAAATCGTCATCGTCAGTTGGGTCAGAATTAACAGCGGCTGTGTTGTCATCACTATCATCAATGCCAATCACAGTTTGACCCATGATGTTTTTGTGACCGTAGGGAAGAGTCTGCTGACCATCATCGAGGATGTAGCGTTTGTCATCAAAAGCTGATAACGATGTTTTCGTCGAAGTCACTGTTTGCAGATTGTGTGACTCGGATGCGATTCGACTGTTTTCAGTTTTGAATAACGAGCCAGAGGTCAAGGTGTCTCGATATCGCTGATGACTCAACATCTTCTGAGCATCTTTGGATACACCTTTCACCGATAATTTTCTGCAGTCTAAAATTTTATTTATATGATTACTAATCAATTTTTTGATGATCACTAATGTGTGGTGGTAAAAAAACCAAATACGATGTTTTTTTTTAAGAGCTACACCATGTTAACTTGAAGGCCAGGTGCAACAAAAAAAAATACATGAAGGCCAGGTGTGACCTTAAAAATTAGTCATCATTAAAAAAAAAAAAACAATCAACCAACACAAAAAAAAAATCCCCGACAAAAAAATTTTTTAAAAAAAATTTTTTGCCGACAAAAAAATTTTTTAAAAAAAATTTTTCGCCCACAAAAAAAAAAAAAAAAAAAATCGCCCACAAAAAAAAACCAAAAATTTTCAAAAAAATTATTTTTTTTCGCCTAAAAAGTTTTTTCCAATTTTTTTTCAAAACAAAATACACTTTTTCGCCCGAAATTTTTTTTCGAACAAAAAAAATTTTTTTTTCCAAAAAAAAAAAAAA